CGGGGGCCGTGGGGCAGTAACGTGGTCCAAAGGAGCTCTCGGGAACCTTCGAGAAGGAGTTACAGATACCTGGAAGGTGGGTGGGGCGAAGGGCGGAGCCAGCCCCAGCCCGGGGGCATATAACGAGGGCGCCGTGAGGAGCTCGAGATTCTTCGTGTGCTGGTGTTACGAAGATCCACGTCGGGGAGAAGAAGCCTCGAGCCACGCGGTCCGGGACCCCGTTTGTGGTCCGGACCACGATAGCGAACCGTAACTAATTCTGCCGTAGCATGGTTAGATGGACATTTGAGACCCGAGTGTAGATTGTGTTATGTTACGTACTGTTGTCTAAATAAATAGTGTTGCTCCTAAGATAACGTATTCGACTCAGTTGGACTCACTACAACTGGTGTCGGAAGTGGCCAACTTGCTAGACCGTCTGGACGCGTCCCTCAAGTTGTGCCGGTGTGTCAAGGAGACCGCCGATGGTACGACTCCACGGGATGTTAACTCTATTGTGCTGCGGGGAGGATTGCTCATGTATTGGGACGGAGCTTTGCGTCTTTATGCTATTGTTGTCCCTACCGCCCTGCGGGGCGAGGTTGTGTGGGCTGTGCATAGACAACTGTTGCTCCTCGGAGTGCAGAAAATGCTGGCCGCGCTTAAATTGGATTTTTATTGGCCAGCCATGGTCTCCGACTTTGAGGATCTGCTGAAAGGCTGCGTGCAATGTGCCCGGCGGAAGCCGCCGGCGAGATCCTGTTGTCCTCCGCTGCAATCAATCCAGGTGTCATGGGTAAATGAAATTGTTGCCCTCAATATTCTCGGGCCGTTTCCCGCTTCTGCGCATGGCAACAAATATTTACTTGTGGGCGTTGAGTATTTCTCTCGCTGGCCTATGTCTTGGCCGCTCCCAAATCAATCGGCTGTGGCTATCACCGAGGCATTCCTTAATGGCTATGTTCTGGATAAGGGGGCTCCTGAGCGCCTCTTGACGGATCAGGGCAAAAAAAATTCCTCCAAGCTTCTGCGTGAGGTTTGCGACCTGCTGGGAACAATAATGGTACACACGTCGCCGTACCACCCGCAAACGGATGGCAAGGTCGAACGCCTACACCTGACTCTGACCTCCATGTTGAGTCACTTGGTCAGTGAGTCACAGGTCGATTGGGATTTGCATATCCCTGCGGTTCTTGCCGCTTATAGGATGACCCCTCACACGTCCACCGGCTACTCTCCCTTCTTTTTGATGTATGGGAGAGAGTATGAGCCTCCCATTGATGTCCAGTTGCAGACCGCGCCCGCCCCGAAGGTGCCCAAAATTTCTGACACAATTCGCTTCACGATGGGGAACCTTTCCGAGGCGCGGGAAGCCGCCAGTGTTAACTCTCGGGCCAGGCAGCTGGCCAACGAGCGGCTCAAAGGTGCCCGTGTTTCCCTGTGCGATTGGTCGCCGGGGGACAGGGCCTGGTTGCATTGTCCACAAGTGCCAGTGGGCACATTACCTAAATTGTTGCAACCTTGGAGAGGGCCGGTTGATGCGGTTTGGGTCGTGCGGCCACAGTATGTCCAGATTCGGTTTGTTAAGCGGAGCTGGTTTCTGCATCCCTCTCGCCTTCAACCGTTCATCACACCGTGTGAGTTTGTTTCATCTCCATATCGACGGGGCCGAGTGTCGGGTGTGCACGATGAGCTGGGGCGTGTGTCTGCCAACGCGGGTCCTCAGGAGAGTGTTTCTGTTCCGCCCCCAGGCGCCGCACGACTAATGCCTCGCACGCGGCCGCTCGTGTCGGCCTCGCGTGCGCGGAACGTTGAGGACCCGACAACCTGGCCTACTGCTCTTCGTGCTGCGTCGGGTCGATTTCTTGCCCCCCCCAGCCCCCCCCAAGACGGTCGAGCTCAACCCGTCTGGAGGACCGGCGTCACGGACTCGTTCAGAGACTCGATTTGCGTGATCCCCGTGCATTGCACACTCCCACACCGTCATGGGCTGTCGCGCTCGCGTGAGTCGTGGCAAGTATTTGGCCGATCCTGCTCGCCATCGAGCTAACGGGCGTTGTTACACGTTGTGGGAGGGAGATGTTGATTGTGGGGATTTCGTGCACTGTGATTGTTGGTTTGACCGTTCGGTTTTTTTCTCTGTGTATATCTATTGTACAGTTGGGTTGGGTAATTTATTGCTTTGTTATGTTGGAGCACACTTGTTGTTATGTTCTGTTAACTATACGTCGGTTGCTTACTTTGGAGGGAGTTGGCAGCGGGGATGGCTGGAAGCTACGAAGGGGGGGTGATGTAGTGACTGTGCTTGTCACTGTATGGTGCCGGGGCTTGCGAAGCCACGGCTGGTAATGTGTTGTCATTACGGGCAGCCCGGGTTACAGGATGTAGTACCAGCCCTAGTGGGGCTTGCGTGGGCGCTGGTTAGCGCGGAGGCACCGCGAGCAGTGTAGCGGTGCGGGCTCCCAGTGAGGGAGCAAGAGGGAGTGTCAGCCTGCCAGGGTTACCTTGGGGCATGATATGCTGGTTGACCTGCTGTCACGTGACCGGATAATATTGGAGGGGGGCCACCGGTGGACGGGGGCCGTGGGCTGGTCACGTGGTCCAAAGGAACTTTCGGGAACCTTCGAGAAGGAGCTAAAGAGACCTGGAAGGTAAGCGGGGCGAAGTGCGGAGCCAGCCTCAGCCCAGGGGCATATAACGAGGGCCCCGTGAGGAGCTTGAGGTTCTTCATATGCTGGTGTTACGAAGATCCACGTCGGGGAGAAGAAGCCTCTAGCTACGCAGTAGCTAGACCGGACCGGGATAGCGAACCGTGTCAGCGAACCGTGTCTAGTTCTGCAGTAGCGTGGTTCGATGGGCATTCGAGACCCGAGTGAAGATTGTGTTATGCTACGTACTGTTGTCTAAATAAATAGTGTTGCTCCTAAGAAAATATCTGCGACTCAGTTTGACTCACTACACATGTTTCATTTCACTTATCAGACTGTCACCTTTGACGTTTTCTTAGCTCGATGAATGAGCGTCTTGATAAGAGCAGATTTCTGTGCGGGGTGATCGTGTGACTGCATTCAGATAGGCGTCAGTATGCTTTTTCTCTCGGTAAACGATGTGTGTTATTTTACCATTTCAACCCCGTCTGAGCAGAATATCCAGAAATGGTAGAGTTCTGTTAGCTTCCACTTCCATGGTGAACTGGATGGATGGGTTTTGCGAGTTGAGATGATTTAGAAATGCATTAAGTGTATCGTTGCTGTGTGGCCAGACCACCAATGTGTCACCCATATATCTAAACCAAGCAGAGGGTTTTCGTGTGCTTGAAGCTATTGCTTTGGTTTCAAAATCTTCCATGTACAAATTCGCTATCACAGGAGACAAAGGAGAGCCCATTGCTGCTCCTTCATTTTGTTTATAGAAGTCACCTTTCCACAAGAAATAGGTGTTCTTTAGACAGTGTTCAGCTAGTCTTGGGATATCTTTTGCTGTGTGGAAGCGAATCATCAAAAAATACATTGTTTAAATGCAACCCTATACAGGCCACCATACTTAAATAGGGATTATCGTTGGTACGGCTATTTTAATACACACAATGGACAGGAAGGACAAGATCAAAGGGCACGCATAATGCACATGCATAATGTACTCATTAATCCCCCCCCACTTTGCGCAAGAGTGTGAAGTGTGGTCACCACATCTACGCCTCTATATAAGGAACAAAACAAGTGGACTTCTTCACAAATATGGCTGTCGCCTGATGACGCTAGTTGTAATTACTGGCGAAACGTTGTACTCAGACTGTAAATGTTGTGGCTTGGTTCTCCAACACACCAGTGTGCTGTACTAGTGACGATTTGGCATGTTCTGTTTACGTTACAACCCTTACTAGTTGGCTGTGTCGGGTGGTGGTGGGTTTTAATGACACATTTATATATTTACGCGATCTAACCAAAAAACCTCTTATGGATCAAATATCCCGTCACGTCATTCCAAAGAGTAGCCCATTTTGTGCCGGCGTCATGGTCCAAATTTGGAAAATTACTTTTGGAGTTTACAAATCAATCGCCTCCTGCTGCACAATAAAAATGGCACGGCTCTCCTGAAAGAGCCATGAGACTCAGCGAGGCTTTCATGTGTAAGCGTAATAATAAAAATAATAACATAGCAGCATTGCCCCATACTGGCAGACCAATGCCTGCTTGACCAATGCCTGCTTGCAGGACAGGTGCCAAGTCACATTGGCCCACAGGGAGAGCTTCCACGAGGGGTGTCCTTTCGAATGTCTAAGATGAGATGTAAGTTTTATAAAATACAGAATCAGATCAGAATCTTTATTTATCCTGGAGAAATCCGATGAGATACGAAACTCTTTTTCGCAGATGATGCTGATTCGTTATACCACTCTGTCTTGGATATTTTTTTTACTAAAAATGAAAATCCAAAAATCTAAAAAGAGCTTCCGAGTGAGAACACGCAGCACCAAGGAAATGCACCCGTCGCCTTATTAGCTTACATTTTCTCAGCAAATGAGAGTGATGCACACTCTGTGCCAACTCGTGATTCGATTATCATGATTTGTGGGCACGATTAAAATGTTTTAAAAATCGAGAAAAAATATTAATATGCTGTTATCGTACCTACTGAGCCACATTGCACTCGCCAGTTAAAAAAAAACATCTTCCCAACCTGGTCTTCCACTGCTGCCACGTAAGAGTACAGTAGAACGCACTGGTGAGTACAGTACATAATACTGGTGTTATTTAAAAAATATATATATTTTTCAAAAGAAGGTTTAGCATCTGTATTATTAGCGCTGTTACCAATACCTCAATGAAGCCCTCATATATTTCTCAAACATGTAATAATTAAAGCCGTTGGGAATGCATCCCCATATATACAATTGTCTAATGAACTCCTTTAGGCGCCGATTTGATTAATGGCCACTTCTCCAGCATACGTATGTTGAGCGCGAAGCGAGGTCTGCCTGTACAATAATTTTCACTATTATTATTCACACAAACAAATACCTCTCTAGACGTGGGCAGCATGGCTCGACCTCTGGCCTTGCTCCGTGAATTCCCGGCATTCTCGCAGACGCCCCATGCCTCACTGCATGCAGCTAAAGACATGGCTGTACTCTCCAATTGCTGTCAAATGAGAGGAGAGTTTAAGACATCATTAAGCACTTTTCTTGACACTGCAACACCACCAATGACCACATATGCCAATGTAATTTTTTCTGTAAAACTGCTCAATTATTAACAACTAGCCTTTTGCCCGTCCAAGGACGGGTGTATTGTAGTAAATCTGAAACTTGCAAATGAAAAACAGACCGCGACGTGATATTCATTGCATTAAGGCATGTGCAATTTGTAAGGGTGCGGTGACAGACCTATTTCATTTTAAGGTTATAATCCCTTGTTCATCATTACGTCCTTTTTACTTTGATGTCTCAATAGCGTTACAGAGATCGCGTGATGTGAGGGTTCTGCCTTTGTAGTGAGGGTTGTAAGTTGACGCCGAGGAGGGGGGAGGAAGCGCCTTTGCCCCCTATGTGGAGTGAAGTCAGCCGCTAATTATTATGAATGGGGGGGGGGTGTCTATTTGGAGCACGTCACCTTATGATTATTAATGAGGGGGGCTGTTCGATGTGGAGTGACGTCACTTGCGCATGATTACATTATGTGTAACAGAATTTTTGTCTCTGGGTTGTGTTATTTTTTAATTGCTTCTGCCTAAGAGTATAGAAAATGGCTATTATTCCCCACAAACTTTGGTTTTGTGACCAGAACAGTGATATTTAGAAATGTACCTATTTTCAATGAGAAAACGGGCGAATTTGTGTCTTTTCGTTCACGTAAAGTCAGAAAAAAATATGAATGACAATAAACATGTATTTATACTAAATTAATACAAAAATTACTACAAAAGATTTAGAAGTGAGTAGTTTTTCGAGATTTATGATTATACTGTAAATCACTTTCACGTATCAGCCCCCAAATGTAGTCTCCATCATGTTCTCATTATACTGTCCTTGGTAGCGGCATTCAAAGTCCAGTATATCCTGGTGGAAGCGCTCGCCCTGTTCCTCCGAGTACTCTCCCATGTTCTCCTTGAATTTATCAAGATGAGCATCAAGGAAATGGACTTTGAGGGACATCCTACAGCCCATTGTGGCATCATTCTTCACCAGAGTCTCAACGAGCTCCACGTAGTTTTCGGCCTTGTGATTGCCCAGGAAGCCCCGAACCACTGCGACAAAGCTGTTCCAAGCCGCTTTCTCCTTACTTGTGAGCTTCTTGGGGAATTCATTACACTCCAAGATCTTCTTTATCTGTGATCCGACGAAGACACCGGCTTTGACCTTTGCCTCAGACAGCTTAGGGAAGTAGTCTTGAAGGTACTTGAAGGCTGCCGACTCCTTATCTACAGCTCTGACAAATTGTTTCATAAGGCCCACTTTGATGTGCAGTGGTGGCATCAGCACCTTCCGGGGGTCCACCAGTGGCTCCCACTTGAAGTTGTTCCTCCCCACAGAGAACTCGGTCCGCTGTGGCCAGTCCTGCCTGTGGGAGTGCACCTTGGTGTCCCTGCTGTTCCTAAGGCAAAGATAGCAGGGAAACACGTAGGCTTTCGCGACCAATATTATTCATAATAAAGATTTTTGGGTTAGATCGCGTTATTTATAATTTAAAAACAAAACCGTAATGAACTTAACTAACACTGTTTTAACCAGTGACATGATTTCGATTTAAAGCTTTCGTGACTGCAGGGATTCATCTTCTTGGTTCTTTCGGTAAAGTCATGTAGAAGGGAAATAATAAAATAATAAAATAAAAACTATTAAATAAAATTCTCACGACGTTTCGGCCACAACGCAAGCAGCTGTCTTCAGGTGAAGAAACAGAACTGTCGGAAAGACAGCGGAAAGACAGCGCTGTCTGTCTGACAGTTCTGTTTCTGGAAAGACAGCGCTGTCTTTCCGACAGTTCTGTTTCTTCACATGAGGACGGCTGCTTGCGTTGTGGCCGAAACGTCATGAGAATTTTATTTAATTTTAATCATTTTATGATTTCCCTTCTACGTGACTTTACCGAAAGAACCAAGAAGACAGTGACATGATTCCCATCCTTTCTAAAGGCCTTAACTTTGCCGTTACCCCACGCACAATTCCAGTAGATGAGATCATTGCTGAGGTAGAATCAGCAGTAAGACTACTTCCACATAATGAGGCAGAGATGACTAGACACGAGATTGCCAAAATAATTCAGAATAGTAAAGTACCAAAAGTAAATATTAGCTCGAATAAAGCAAACGCCTTAAGAGAGCTCCGATTAAATAGAGATATTCAAATCCTGGCAGCTGATAAAGGCCGCACTACTGTAGTGATGTCACAAGGCGATTATGATAATAAAAGAAATGATTTACTAGATGAAAGTACCTACATTAAAATTAAACGAGATCCAACTAATACTTTAGAACGTAAGACTACTGCAATCATTGCAAATTCATTAATCCCTAAGAATGAGCAATACCGAATTAAGCCAAGGGCCTCAAAACCACCGAGACTGTATGGGCTAGCCAAAGGTTAATAAAATCGGCATCCCATTACGACCCATAGTCAGTACAATTGGCTCTGCCACATATAAATTAGAAAAATATATAACTAAACAAATACAGCCCTACATCGGGAGGATATCTTCATTCATAAAAAAAAATCAGAACATCTTGTGAATGTGATTAAAGATATCAAACTTAACCCTAATGATATTCTGGTGAGTTTTGATGTGATTTCTCTATTTACAAAGGTTCCAGTGAATGAGTCGCTTAAATTACTTGATACACTAGTAAAGAATACCGGTTTACCAAAAGATATTCCGAAACTTGCTGGCCATTGTTTAAATAACACTTCTTATGGAGAGGGGATTTCTTTAAACAAAAGGAAGGAGCAGCAATGGGTTCTCCTTTATCCCCTGCTATAGCAAATTTGTACATGGAAAACTTTGAAATAAGAGCACTTGCCTCGAGCACATTAAAACCATCCTTTTGGTTTAGATATGTGGATGACACTTTGGTTGTCTGGCCACATGGTAAAGATGCACTTAATGATTTTCTAAATCATCTCAATGCACAAAACCCGGCCATCCAGTTTACCATGGAAATGGAGGTGAATAACAGACTCCCGTTCCTAGATATTTTGCTGGGACATGGTCTACACATCATCACCCAACTCAGAAATCCTCTCTTATCAAGACACTCATACATCGGGCTAAAACAGTGTCAGATGGTGAAAGTCTAGTGAGAGAGATTAAACATGTTAAAGAAGCACTAAGACAGAATGGCTGCAATAATGCTCAAATTAACAGAGCACTGAATGCCAAATCACGAATGTAAAAAAACACTGCTGAAAACGATAAAATTGTTAAAAAAATTAAAATACCATATATCTCAGGAGTAACTGACAAATTAGCCCGTGTTTTGCAAAAGCAAAACATTAAAGTAAGATTTGGTACAGTACACAAAATAAAAAAAATGGTATCTGGCATTAAAGACGAATTGCCTAAATTATCAACAGAAGGTGTATATCGGATTAATACTGGTAGAAAACGTAGTGGACTGGAAGCCCAACCGGGATAAATTCACAGGAGGCAGGGGATTCATTGTGTATGTCTGTGGATGTCTGTCCACGTGTATCCGGACACCCGGATATATAACAAATGCGCTCCTAGTGGGCATTACTGGTAGGAAACGTAGTGGACTGGAAGCTCAACCGGGATTAATTCACAGGAGGCAGGGGATTAATTTTGTATGTCTGTGGATGTCTGTCCACGTGTATCCGGACACCCGGATAAAATGTGAGGGGTGGGGCTGGGTGGAGAGGGGAGGGTGGGGAGGGGCTGGGGAGGGTGGGGAGGGGAGGGTGGGGAGGGGCTGGGTGGGGAGAGGTGGGGCTGGGTGAGGAGGGGCTGTTCACCCCGTGGTGCCCTTATAAAACTCAACGTTTAACCTACTCACGCCGGCTTGTGCCCGCCCTCACAGTCGGGCATATTTGCGGAATACACCACGCTGCCGTTGAACCTGGCCATTGACCGAGCAACCCAACGTTCCTACGAGCTCCCTCCACAGGAATGTGTTTGTTTATGTGGCAGATGCTGTATTGGACAGACGTAACATCAGCATAAGACTAAAAGAACACCAAAGAAATATTAAATTATCTCAAACACAACTGTCGGCAGTGGCAGAGCATGCTTGTCAACAAGGACACTCAATTGATTTTGATAATGTTGAAGTGTTGTGTAAAACTAATTATTACTGGCCATGACTACTTAGAGAATCCATTGAAATTGAGAGAAATACAAATAACTTTAATCGCTCTGACAACTACAGGCTTAGTACGGCCTGGAAGCGTATTATTAAATAAAATATAGAATACAATTACAATTCCTAATAAGGGAAACAAATACAATGAATAACAATTTAATGATTACCAATCTATTAAATAAATCGCTGCACCTGAATGAATTAAATTATGACGTCACCCTGCTGCTGCCCTATTTAAGACCGGGAGCAAGAGGAGAGCCTCACTATTCTGGCAAATTGCCCGATGAAGCTGGATATAAATTCCAGCGAAACGTCGTACTCAAATTTTAAATGATGTTGATTCACTCTTCAACACACCGGTGGGCTAAAGTAGTGAACTATTTGTCCTTTGTAAACGTGACACATTTTTTACTGTTTGGATGTATCGTGTGGTGGGGGGTTACGACACATTTATAAATAACGCGATCTAACCCAAAAACTTTTATTATGAAAAGCAGGGAAACTTGCTAAAACTGCCTTGGAGACCCATCAGGAATGCCACCATTTTTAAGTTCCGATGACCTCCCTGCCATACTCCTCATACTTCAAGGCATCCAGCAAGGTCTTGATGCTGTCGTAATCCTCTTTGAGGTGCACCGAGCGAGCCAGGGGAAGAGACGGGTACTTGTTACCATTATGGAGCAGCACGGCTTTGAGGCTCCTGGATGAGCTGTCATTGAAGAGGCGCCACTCATTCTGGTTACAGGCGATTCCGATTGCCTCGAACAGACTGGTCACATTGTGGCAGAAGCAGAGCCCATCTTGAGGGGTGAAGAAGCTGCAAAAAGGTTGGTGATCTGCGAATTGCACACTTTCATCCAACAAGTTTCACTGCTTGAGCCGAGACACCAAAAGCTCAGCATTTGACTTGGTGAGACCAAGATCTATGATCAAGTCATTGAGGTATTTTTGGTTTCGCTCCTCGGCTCCACCTCTGAAATTGTCATCTGGATCTACGGCTTCCTCGCTCTCTGACTTGCTGCTCTCTTCTAAATACGGCTGCTCTCTCTCCAGAGGAGTGCGTACGGGGAGCTTATGGCAGTGCGGTACCGGGGCGATGGATGAAGGAAGGTCCGGATACGTGATAGCAGGTGCATTCTTGCCAGACCGACGTTTGGAAGGGTCCACCATGCAGAAGTAGCAATTGCTTGAGTGGTCAGTGGGTTCCCGCCAAATTCTTGGGATAGCAAATTTCATGGCTCTCTTTTTCCCCTCTGTAGCATCCTACAAACATACATTTATTTCACCCATGACTAATGTGTAAGAGATTCTCGCAGCATTTTTCATACATGATATCTATTTTTTCAATAACATTGAAAATTGTAAAACACTTTAAAATTAAAAGTTTTACAATTTTATTTTTTTTAAATGTATAACATAAAATTCCGAGCAACAATTGTCCATCTTACATTCCATAGTTTTTTTGCATTGCTCGCAGGTGAAATGAGGTGCCCAGGGTTTGTCTTTATCCCCGACAGGCATGCCAAAATATCGGAAAAATGTCTTGTGGGCCTCACACATCTTAGCAGATGCTTCCACAGAGTACTTTTCGCTCTTGTATTGATAAATTGGCCGCAGACATAGCAAAAGGCGTCTGCCGGATGCTTGCAGCCGCTTGATGCCATCTCAGAAAAATGCAAATATGTACCCACTTAGGCAGCTGGAACTAAACTGAACTGGTGGGCTTAATTTATATTACTGGAAAGTTCTAGAATGTTCTAGAAGTTACTCCAAGTTTACTCGGCACTGAATCTATCTGGAATGCTCAATGAAAATGGGCAAAGCTTTAAATCGAAAATAGGTCAATTAAAAAATATCACTGTCCTGGCCACAAACACTAAGTTTTTTGGGGAGAATAGCCATTTTCAGTACTTTTGAGGCATACGCAGTTAGAAAATAACACTTACGACCCAGGGACATTTTTTTACAGTATTATGAGTGGGGTACTCCATATTGAGTGATGTTACCCACTAATAATTATTCATGAGGGGCAATTGTGGAGCCAGGATTTTCAGGTAAGGGTGGCAACTCCTCCAGCAATGAAAAATTAAAGTTGTTATTAAGTAAGGACTTATTCTTAGTTTTTTCGGTAAAGTCACGTTGAAGAGAAACAACAAAATAACAAAATATATATAAAACAATAAAAAATTTCTCACGACGTTTCGACCATAACTCAAACAGT